GAGCAGAACTTCCCCTTTTAAATGGATGAGGGCTGTTACAAAACGCTCAGCTACCCCTTTAACCTCAAGAGCAGAGTCTCCTTCCGTGACCGATAGTGACAGACTGCTGCCAAACTTGGGTGTAGTAAACGGTCTGGGGGAGCCTTCATTGTGCTGGAAGATGACTGACTTACATGGGTGCTTGTATTCGGTGATCCTACCCCTTGTGAAGTGGCTAGCTGTCTCTGAAAAGAAGACACTTTCTCAGTAGGACACCTGACTTTGTTTTCTTCTTGTGGAAGAGTTTGTGTGATGTGCATTGTGTGTTACAACCCCTAGAAGTGTAGACTAGGGTAGCATACACTTACACTGAACATATGCTTTACTAAGCTCACGTGTAGCATGAGCAATAAAACACGCTTGCTATGCAAGTCATGTTCTAGATGGTTTTCTAACCATTGGCAGCAGTCCTCAAACAACTACTACTTTCAGTTGTGATCTCTGCATAACTTGCTCAATAACTAGTGTGGTTCATTTTTCATTGATACACAGGGGAAGGATGAGCAGAGTGCGGGGWGAAACTGAGTGGGAGAGGGGAGAAGTGGGAGAAGCTGTGCCAGCTCTGCTCCTCTTTGACCTGGCAGTGTATAAACTTGGTTATACATCTTTGGAAACAAGGTATGWAAATGTTATCGCTGTCAATTTGCTTTCTCAAGGTGAAGAGGCTAATAAAATTTATGGCTGCTGAGTTATCAACCTGGTAATATATAAAGGAGGAAAGAGAAGAGAAGTTCTTTGCAAACAGCAATAGAGCCTAAGCAACAGCCCTTCAAGCTTATCAATTCATAGAGTCACTAATCATGAAGCTACTGTTAGGCCTGTTCTGCCTTTCGTTTCTCTCCTCAGAAGGTAAGATTTGAAAGGTATTTTTAAAATTCCAGTTACATGGTACRTAGCAAACTATGTATGTATTTTTTGCAGGGTAATTGTATATCAGAAATCTTAGAAGTGGGATGATGAAAATTTGTGAGTAAAACTCTGATCTTGAGTGTTGCTTTGGTTGTGGTTGATCACTTTAAATACAAATATGTGTATTGTTTTGTGTTGTTCTGGGAACTGATTTCACCCGAGACAGGCACTAAGCTTTTCCGTGGAGAAAAATATCAAATAATCAGGCTAGTAATAAGGTCTGTGCCAAAATGGGACAGAGATATAAGCTGGTGTTTGAGATTTTCTCTGAATTCCTGCCTATGACCTTTTGCTTTTTCAGTGGTGGAAGACTGTTTAGGTAGGTTAGGCATCATCCTGGCATTTGGGGCATCTTCTCCGAGTCCTGCTTTTCCCCAGACTTTCTTGTATGCGTTGAGCAAATTGCTGTAGCCAAACAAAAGTTAWGTTACCCATCCTGGGTCTGTTCTTCCTACACTTGGGAGTGAGATGCTGACTTCATGGGTGCTGTAGTACTGAAGATGCTTTTGGCTCCATGCTTCTTCCATGCTTCACCTTCCGCCTATGAGAAAGTGATATACAATCATAGTGCATTATCTCACTAGTAGCTTGTGAGGATAAATATCTAATCACAGGATTATTAAGTCCTACAGTAAAAAACTGTTCAGAGAAACTGTTTGGAGTTGTGTGGTTCCCCCCTCCCTAAAATAAGCAGAAGACAGTCAGTTTTCTTTTTTTTTTTTTTTTTTTTTTAATATGAGGAAAAAAATGCATGGTGACTGGAGGGCCTGTGAAAACTTGTTTCATGAAAAACCTGTGACTGCTAGCAGCCTATAGTTCTTATCATCTGCTGCTATAAGAGCAAGGGAGTGAGGAGGGTAAGAATTTTCTCTCCATTCTTTTGGGAAAATTAGAGAAATGCATTTATTGGGGACATAGTGGAGAAAATAAAAAGCTAGAATTATTGGACTGTAGACTAAGGGAGGAACTATAATTCTGGGATAAGTAAAAGCTAAAAGATATTCTGTGGAAAAATATAAACCCTGACCAAGCAAGAAAAGCTGAAGAATGTGTTCTGGAAGGTAACTATACTCGGGCAATCCAAACAAGAGTCTGAGGGAAAGCAACAAATCATTGCTGAAGGCATGAAAACTTAAAATCTGTTTTCAAATATGGGAAGTCTGTAGGGTTAAATGAGTATAAAAAAAAGCTCAAGCCCAGCAGAAAACTTGAGTGTCTTCTGCAAAGAAGTTTGAAACAGGCTTTGCACAGGGGACAAGTGTGAGAAACAGTGAAATTCTTCAACAAATAGGTGACATTCATCCAAAGGGGAATGCCAAACTCTTTTAGATCTGCTGCAAACAATTTCTTGAATGAGTGTTATTATCAGGAGAGGAAGATGGCAAGTGGAAAACCGATATTTAAACTTGTCCCCACCTTAGGAAGGTGTGGGGAACTGCAGTGGTAGTTGTGCATAGTAAGACTGACTTCAGCACTAGGCAATTTGGTGATACGAAAGAAGAGCATGAACYAAGTGAGAGCAAGCATGACCCAGCAGGAAGGCTTTGTTGTGGAACTGATGAAGAGAACACATGACTGTGGGCTTGTGTCCATGGATAGTTCAGCTGGGGTTTGGTTTTAAAATTCTTTTGACCAGAAACTTTTAAAGAAGCTAAGCCGTTGTGGGACGATGGTCAAGGGGACTCTTATGGGCCCTTATAGTTTAAGGATGAGGGAAATTAAAAACCAGACTAGCCTGTAGGCTTTCAAACTGGAAAAACAGGGGAGAGTATCTGCCAAATCTTGTAGTAATTTATGCTGGGACATAYGTTTTGCACAGTTGTCAGACCTTATTCAGGTAAGGGGGTAAACATGCATGCTGATGCAAAATTATCTGGGATATTCAAAATAAAAGCTTAGAAGTAATGTATGGGGAAAAATTGTCCCACCTATGTATTCACAATGTTGAAAGAGGTTGACAGAATTTCATGACTAAGAGAAAAAATGAAGATTATTAAAATGTAATTCCTATTCTGTGTGCAAGTCYGGAGTTCGGCCATACTTTGTCTAGTTTTTTAACCTTTTTTTTAAAAAAAAATCTTGGAGGAGGCTAAAGGAAAAATTGCTTCATAAGTTTGATCACTTAACATGAGGCAAGATTCGATAAGTTGATTTACTCTTTAACCTTGAAGAAAGATGGATGAGACTGATACAGGCATACAGAAGTATGCCACGTCATGACTTTTGTGGAAATGAGAATGACTACTCCATAAAAGATCAACCAGGCATTAAATCAAGATACTGACCAATAAGGAATAATATTTTCCTCTCAGCATATAATTCTGAAGATCCTTGTCTACAGAACTGAGGGGAGATCTCATGTGAATGAGCTGGATAAGTAAATAGGGAACTTCACAGAAGTAAGGTCTAGTGGAGGTTCTTCAACGTGAACTGCTTGCTCAGGAAGAYCCAGGAGCACAGCTGCTCGGGAGGTGAGAGGATATAGCATTGAACTATAACTATATTTTCCTTATTTCCTTGAGCATCTGCTCTGACTCTTGCCCAAGATAGACTGAAGATCCATTTGACCTGGGACTGGCATAGAAGAGACYTTCTTATATATTTGAAATATTAAGATGATCATAGTCTTTTCTTTTTTCTTAATCCTAGAAACTGAGCATGGACTCTCTCTCAGTGTAACCCATTAGTCTATCTTCAAAGATGGTTGGAGTTTGTGTTAATCAGTGTTAAATGTCTTGGAGATRCTGAATTTTTATGACAGGTTAGCAGGAGGTGGGTCTGCCCATCATGTGCCTTCAGTATCTTGGGCAATAGAGTTGGGATTCTGGTTGTCCAAAACTGACCGTCATCACAGCTAGGATGAACATATGGATTGGATAAAATGTCATGCAACAGCCTGACAGTGACAGTCTTTGTCTATCAGGTACAATAAAAATAATAAAAATTCACAAATAGTTCACAGCTGAAACCCAAGGATGGGGGGTGGACATTAAGTTACTGCCATTTATTGAGCAGAATCACGCAATATGGCTCACGGATTTGCACAGTGTTGCAGCAGGACGAAGCTGCAGTGAGGATGGTGGGAAGTCCCTGGGGCTGCTTGGGAAAGTGGCCCTGATGGCTTGGTTGAGCTGCCACCGCGCGTGCGCTTTCCGGGACGTGGAATGAAAGGTGCCTGCAGGCAGCAGAGCCAGGCCTTGCGGCTCAGGTGGCTTTGTATATGCCCCCAAAAAAATAAATAAATAAAAAGAACAACTTGCTCACATAGCCACAGGCCTGACTTCTGGCTCCATGAGCTATTTTATCTGTCAGCTCTCAAGAGATGAACATGCAGCAGTTGCTGTATGGCCCCAGCAAACTCTCACAACACTCATGTTGCTCACTGTCTGTAGGCTAATATGAATGGCTCCTTTCCAGTGAGCTCTACCATGTATATGTTAACATTGTTCTGTTATTTTTAATAAAATAAGCCTAGAATGCACTCATAATGCCTAAAAATTAGGGGCTGACTCACACAGCTATTTGCTGCTCATTGCAAAATTTCTTTTTTGTTAATTGGAAGTTACACACTTATTTGCTACCCTGGGTATATTGTCTTCTCACAAAAAACGGGTCACTAACATTGAGAAATGTAATTAAATTTAGTCATAACACAAGAGAAAAGCTGTGCACTGAAGAGGAAAGCAGACACAAAACTGAAAGGTTTTTTTTTAGGCCTGCGGCATGTGTGGTTGGTAGATGAGATTCACAAGTGGTCCCTCACCTGTGTGTGTAATTGTGTCTCTTCCCCTCATTTTGGCAGATCTCATCTGCTTATAACAGCCAGAAGTTTATTCCAGTACATTAAAAATTGAGGAAATACATCTGTTTGTTGCAATAAGCACCACCTTTGGAAAGTAAGGTAGAGAAGAAAGATTACCACTTTTTCAGTACTGTATGTTTTTAGAGATGCCGTGTCTTCTGAAGCATTTTCCTAAGGCAAGGAAACAGTGCAATTCATTATTTATTTATTTATTTATTTATTTATTTATTTAAGGTAATGCAGATCAGCTCCCAGAAGAACAGAAAGCTCTGAAGGTAAAGTATGAAAACAACTTCAACTTTTTTCTTTTTTTAGTATCTATCAGCCTATGTCTAGCTGTAGCTTCCTCTGAGACAAGTGAGAGAGAAATGAGAGAAAAATAGGGCTTAGTGGTCTAAATTGCTTAATTCTGCAAAAATAAAACTCACCAAATGAGTTAGCAATGTAACACTGTTGTTGCAAGATAACACACTTGAATCAGGAAAACAACGGTTTCTCTGAGCAACGTTTGTTATTAGGTTTCACATCCTGTACACAAACCTGCCGCAGTTTGTACTTGTTCTTGGACAGCCCTTTTCTAGAAGGGCAAGATTAAACTCATCCTTGTGCTATAACAGTGCAAAGCATGGACACCACTGAGGTCTTCTGAATGAGGAGGTGTGTAGGAAGYGTGGTGGCTCTTGACACAGTGCACGTTTTGGTGTACCCACCTTCCAGGGGCAGCCAGCTGGCCACACTTGGTCACAGTGCTGAGGAAAGGTCCAGAAAAGCCACCCAGGTGACTTCCACCAGGAAGCTTCTGCAAGAGGGATGGGCCAAAGGAATAAAATGACCAGTRGCAAAGAGTCCAGCTAATCCACTTCATTCAGATCACTCATGTTCTTGCATCAACTACAGCTCACTTTAACTTTTCCTTTCTCTTTAGTGCATTCTATCATTATACAGAAGTTCTGCCTGTTGCCAACATCCCAGAGTACAGCTGATGGTCTAAATTTGTTCTGCCTTTCCTACTGCATGTTGGGCTTGTGGCTTTTCTTTATGTGCTGTGTGCCTTGTAGCATGCTCAAATGCAGGGAGTAGATGTTCTTGTGAACCCTTCCAGATTAAGCATTCACTGTCTGCAACAATGAACATGACAGTAAAATGTGCTGAATGTGAACTACTTCCATCTCAAATCTATGGGCATTAGTATGGATGCTCAAGGAAGGCGCACGCTTTTGGAAGAGCTGGATGTGAAAATACAGCCATCATCTGCATTTCTATGTTTTTCTAGCAGAGGTGTAAATGCTACTGCCCCTACTGTGACTTTGCTTGTGAATGCAGACCCTGTCTTTAGCTTCCTTAGTTCAGTACCTGTATGAACTCCAAAATTTCCTTGTTACACTTAAGCAATGAACAAGAGGGTTTTTTTTAATAATTTTTATTATTTATGTCAAAGGATCTAAGAAGCTTGAAGTTTTCGTGTCAGCAGGCAATGCCATCTGGGACTCCATCGTCAGGTTTGTGCCCAATATTACCCTTATAATGACTTTCCATCTCAAAACTATTTGAGAACAGGAGGGACACACCTGTATGACTGGATGTAGATGGGTGGGAGTTAGCTGAAATCAAAGTGGATCAGTCCTCTGAAAGGCCCAAGTTTTTGCTCTGTTCATAATTACTTTTCTGTCCTAGTTTCTTCAGCTGCCAGCTGAGGATCCTGGAATTACTTAAATCATAGAAAACAGTATTTGTGCTCTCATACTGATTGATGGTTGAACACTTCAATGAATGCAAACACCTAAAGGAGTTACTGAACACTGAAGAAAAATTTTACATTCTCTATGGCTGATTTAAAACAGCCAATAAAATCASTAGAGACTTCTTTAATTTTTCTGTGTTTTAGTATACTGGTAAATATAGTTTTCTTTTAAAGTTACTGCTTTCTTCTAATCTGATGCTTTTGACTTTTCTACAGTTCATACTCTCAGGCCAGCAGACATAAAAATAGTCACTGCAATAGGAAGCTTGCAAAAGGTAAGTGCAATGATGAAGTATGGCAAATGAGACCCACTTCCTCAGTTCTGACTCTGTGATGGGCTGATGATGAACCAAGGACTTTGGCACTTGAAACTCCTCACAATCATCAAAGATTTCTAGTGAAAAATGACTGGAAATAGCTGTTGTTCATTGTTCCATTATATTGTGAGTCTAAAAATAACCAGCTGACTTCATGCAGGAGTAAATTCCATCTTGTAGAAAGAGATAATTTTTTTGATTAGAGTGCTGTGGTTTCCCTAGAAGTGGCCACAACAGATCAAACAACTAGAAGAAGATGCTGGGAAATTCAAATCAGATAAAAATGTATGATTTTGGTGTTTGCCTTTAGAACAAATTACCATAGGATAAAGTAGACTTGCCACCCTAAAGAAGTGTTTTCTTTAGAGACTGTGTTCCAAAGTGAAAGACTAAAGTTTTAGATGAATCACAAAGATATACCTTTGATATAGCTTTGAAATTACTGAGTAACTGTGCCTGTTTTGACACAGTTGGRCATGGGTGAGTGTTATTGATATTAAGATCTGGAAATGAATATTAGAAAGAGAAGTGAAGCCCAATTAGAAATGTTTAATAAGAATCCTCAACCTTTGAGGAACCTTAGAAATATGTTTTGGACAAAAATTGAGAGTCATTGTGGGCACTACAGTTGCAAATAAATGAAGGAAATACTGACACAAAGTTAAGATTCTTTTGTGATAAAGAAGGAGCTGCAGCAATGTCAAATTCTTTTTGGGCTARGAGCTTTACATAAAAGATTAACATTTCTCTTTTATGTCTTCGTGTTCAGAAAAGAAGGCTTGTAAATCCAAAGGCGCTTCATCCATATCAGACGAGCTGTCCTTTAGAGCAATTTCTTCTCTTTTTTTTTTTTTTTAAATGTCTTTATTACCTGTGGGTGGTGCTGTGCAAATATATATGCAAATGTTTATAAGAAATGTCTACTTTCCTGGAGCAAAAATCTGCCACCGTTTCCTCCTCAGACTCTAAAATCAATGAACTTCCTCCATTTATCTTAATTTTAATCTTTTTACAGATGCCACTGAGACCCATTCATGCAAATTACCTAAATGACTTTAGGTCATATCCTTTGTCAAAAGAGAGCAGATCTAGGGAAATTCAATACAGTTAGAAAAAAACAATTCACTAGATTTAATTTGATATCAACAAGTCAAGTTTTCTTTCAAGCTATAGTTAGACAAGGTAACTGCAATACAATGAGGAAAGGATACATCCAAACGATCCTACTGAGAAAAGGACTTGAGCACAACAGGACAACAGTGCACAGAGATAGTCTGTGCTTTATTTAATGGCATTTTTATTGCTGTTTCATTCACAGRCACCAGGATCTAGCATGCGTCATGAAGATTTACCCCAAAGGTAAGAATGATTTGTTAAAGTGAATACTTATATGTATCAAGACACAAATTTATATGGTCCTACAGAGTAGGAATGAGGCCCAAGCTATTCTTATGGTTGTTATCTAGAGAGGAGGAGGCCTGTATGAAAATATAGTTTGGAGCCATTGGATTCTTCATTATCCTTAGCAGAAATTCTTTGTACTTGCAATGTGTGTTCTGTCCCAGATGTGCAGCTATCTTAGGATTGCAATAACCTTGATTAAGCGTCATTACTGCATGATGAGTCCTGGACAATAAATATTTATCATGCGCTAGTTAGATAAGAAAGAAGAGATTTGCTAAAGGAGAGAGAACTCAGGAATCCTGATAACCTCCCCTCTGCTTGAGTGATTACCAGTGCTTCATGGTCAAGTTTTACAGCATTTTCATCTTCTACCCTCTCTCAGCAGAACTAAATTGTGAGTAAGCTGCAGCAAATTCTGGTAGTTGCAGATCTGTTTTGTGCTTCTGCGTTGTAGCGTTGACCCTGGCTGAGGTTTTAGCACTCTGTAGGCAAACTCTGAAGGACTAATGTGTTTTAAATTGCTGAACAGGCACCTGTGTCTGTATGTCTGTGCACACAGAGAACCCTGCAGTAATGTCTACCTGTAAATGCAGTTACTGCAGCAGGTACAGAGACAAGAAGCTGAGACCCAGTGTGCTGTTCCCACTCAATTGTAGCTCACATGACTGTTTTGGAGACAGAAAGGCCCCATTTGTATTTTTTTCAGCTTCTGTGAATATATTCTCTAAGCTTATAAGAAATTGGGGCTGTGTAATAACGTCTCTCATTTGAGAAATGCGATCACAGCAACTTCATGTTTTCTCCTTTCTCTCTGTAGCACAGAAAAGAGCTTCMTTGAGGTGAGCGTGGAAACATTAGCAGGTGAGTTTTGCTGCCACACTGAAACTTGAGCAAATTGACTGAATGATGTGCTGATAAGTGATCCAGGGCTTTGCTGGGCAAGCGTGTGGGGGAAGCCTGAGGAAATGGGTGTGCAGGGAACGTGAGTGCAGTGCAGGCTAGGATATCCATGCCTGCTTGAAGCAGACTCTCGTGATAGATGAATTGCAGTAAAGAAGGGGTCTTGCATGYCTTTCGGAGACCAGGAATACTGCTCCCCACACCACACATCCTCCCTCTGACTGCTGTAATGCTGCCCCAGTAAAATTTTGCATGGGTTTGCCTCTCTGGTACTCTTTTACTATGTTCAGTTTAATTCATATTTCTAAGCTTTGCTTCCAAACTCACAGTACTTATGAACAAGACTGGTGAGGATGGTCACTGTGGGTTACAGGCTGCACCTGTAATGCCAGCCAAGAGGCTCTTGGGTCTTGCTGTTTCTGGTTGGCTTAATTCAACTGTGTTTATAGTGAAGTTGTAGAGTAGCAGTCCCTTACATGCAGAAACAGCCTAACATCTGTATCTTCAGATCTCATTAGCAGTTTTAATCCCTCGGTCTGGCAGCAGTCTCCTCCACTTGGCACAAAGGAAGCAACATCAGAAAGTCAAGCCAGGTAAGTCTGAGAGGTTTTTGACTGAGCAGTTTGCTTTGGATTGGAAAGGTGGAGCATGAGCTCCTTTGATGCCAGGTCATTTCATTGGACTCAGAACATGCTGAGCCTTGGGGGCAGGGCTCAAGTCACTCCAGAGATGGGCCCCACCATGATGATTGGCGTGAGGAGCAGGAGAAATTGAGCCTGCTGTGTGCTTTGGGGACTGGATCATCTGACTTAACATCTTGTCTCCCTCTTTATATCTGTAAAACACTCTTTTTTTTTCTGGGCTCTAATGGAGTGAGTGGTATGCCTGTCAACCTGTGTTTGCCAGCCTCATCCTTCTGAACTGCACGTGTCTGAAAGTGAGATGTCAGAATACAAGCTAATGACTCCAGTCTCCCTGTGCAGCTCAGGCGTGTATCTAATCTTTCTGCATTTAAGAGACAGCGGATGAATCCCACCTGAAGTCTCAAATACTGTTTGATTTAATGGCAAATACCAGCCAAAGCTTTATCTTTATTGTTAGCTTGACAGTTTCTTCTTTCACTTCTGTTTTTTCAGAAACCTGCTGGATCAAGCTAAAGAAATATTGAAGGTCATGAAAGAGAATCAGGTTTGTGTAAAGCACATCACAACTTAGCTTGATCTGAGGCAGGAAAGTGGGAAAATACAATGAAAACACAACTCAAAGACCTCTTCAAAATAGAACATGCTGTTTCTTCTATTTAATAAACTTTACTCTTTCTCTTCAAATCTGTACATTTTTGAATGTATGGAATATTGTTCTCAGAACCATCCCACTTWGAATACATTAGCCAGAGTGGCTGAAGATCTTGGTATGAAAGCTAGCAGTTTTGTTTCCTGTTGGCTATAGATGCAAGACCTTTATTAATTGTACTCTTTAACTGCACCAAGGCTTCTGCGAAGTCACTCAAATTTTCAATTCTTAATATGTCTCTTTAATTTTCTCTTAGTCTTTTAGGATGATATTCTCCAAAATAGTGGTAAAGATCTAAATAGACTTTTGCCTRTTGTCAGTTGTTAACACTGGTTGTTGCTCATGGCTGAGTGCTTTGAAAATCCCCCCAAAGGTTTTATACACTTGATTTTCTTGTATCTTAAACCCCTGAGGCGTGTTATAGTTTTGTAAAATGGTACTAACATAACTCTTCCCTCTACTGGGAGCCCAATGAACTACTTGAACACAGATGAATTGGCATAAGGTTTTGTGGAACTGAATCTTTTCAGCCAATGCTCTTTGGGTTTGGAGTGTGCAATCTAATGTTCAAGGTGTAGATGAGCCTGCAATTTCCAAATTTTTGCTTCAGTCCTCATCCCACAAGAGTGACCCAGTTGTAGCAGTTTAGGAACGTTAAGCCTCTCAGCAGTATGCAGCAGTGATGGGAAGAAGCAGCATCAGAATTTGGGCTAAGTGTTCATGCCCGTTTTCTCCCATTACTCTGCAATGGCAGTAGCAATTTCTGGTTTTAACCTGAGATTGGTCATGAGGGTGCCCAGAGCTTGGATCATGGACTATTGCTTAGTCTTGCTGATATAGACATATAGCAAACCTTGGGTGRAAAAAAGAGTGAGAAAATTACCAACGGGGCTTCTATCATACTTATTTTCTATTTTATTTTCCCCCAGACGATGGACTTCCAAAATGACTGGAAGTTAATCACAGTTTTCTTTAGTGCTGAAAATCCATGTTCTTCCTGTGCCTCTGTACAACCGGTAAGATTTTGGTAGGGTGGTTTAGCAGTGAGAGCAGATTTGTTAGTGTTGGGTGCTGGGACAACTCTATGCAGTGATATAACTCCTTAGCCAAAAAAAAAAAAGATTGTGTTTATAAGCAAGTATACTCAATTTGGAATCCAAAATCTGTGATGCCATAGCAAAGGAATAGCACTCTTCCATCTTTAGGCCTAAGGATATTTTCCCCCATTTATTTTTTTCTTTTCTTTTAACATGATAAAATTGCCAAGTGATTAAAAAAACGAAGTGTGCAACCAGTTTCATGGTTAACCTCGGTACTGTTCAAGGCAGAATCTGGAATGTGATGGTTATCAGTAATATATCMATACAGAGCTCAACATGTCAATTTGTCAAAAGTAACCTTGTAACTTTTTTGCCTACTAGTTTTGATTGTATTTCTTATCTCTTCTACAGAAGAATTGTGTATTGGACAATCTGGAAAAACTTAACGAAGTCTTGGACTTTTTGTATCAAGAAGTAAGACTTATTCATCAACCTTGAATACCTGAATCCTTTGCTGATTATCTCAGTCTCCCTTGCAGGGCTATAGCTTGCAGTGAAGTTCAAGTGACTTAGAACACTGATTCTATCTGCTTGTCAATAAGTGGTTTTTTTCATGCTTTTAAAAGCTGATGCATGCAAGCACAGCAGGTGGACAAGTAACTGTTTAGCTTKGAACATGCTGATGTATCAGTCAATTGATGTGTTTAGGACTAAAGATGTACTCCATTATTAATGTAAACCACTTACAAGGATTGAAATGCATTCCTGTTGAATAGGGAGGTCTGGAAAAAGGAAAAAACATTACAGGATACATGCAGCTATCTAGGTAATGTACTGACAGCCAATTGCCTAGTGATAATTTGTACATACTAGGACAGTTACAAAATAAAAAAAATATGTAGTGGATCTTCCCTCCTATTCCATATTTATTTTAAGATCTTTGCTTTTTGTAAGGCTATCTAGCTGGATGAGTTAGAACTCATCAGCTTCTCTAGACTAGTTTCTGGGAAATGCTCTAAGCCTGAGTGCTTTTGTAGAAAGAAGAATAGATGATGTATCACTTCTAAAGCAGACTGTTAACTGTTTACCTAAGTTATTTCAGTAGTATCCTTTAAGAACCTTGCTTTGCTGAAGTGGATGCTTAAAGAGTGTTCTCCACAAGGGACACTTTGATTGCATCAAACCACATCCACTCATTTTTCTCAGACTGACTTCTGAAAGTGTTGTCTATGGGTGAAATTCCACCCACACATTCTCTTTAGATTCTCTCCACTATGATTTTTAGAATTTGTATATGTGCACTTGTAAAAGTGAAATATGTGAGTGAAAAGCTGCCTTCTGCTTTAGGGGAAGGTGGGGCAGGATATATGAAAATGAAGTGCTTGTGCTATCACAAAGGATCTTTCATCTCCAAGCTTTTGCATTGATATATTACCACAKAAAGGGTAGTTCCTAGTTCATTTGAGTTTAACTTAGCTGTAATTGAAAACTTTCAGCTAGTGGCCACCTGAGTAATGTGAAGTGAACTGCTGGGCCTCAATCAAGAAGTATGGTGAGAGATCCTTCATGAATGATCAGTAGCATGGTAGATGGTAGATATAGGAGAAGAGTTCACGAATGAATTGACAAAACTGAAATCCTTGATTCTGCAAAGCCAGAATGCTAGGTCAGATAATACGCACTTAGTTTTGCAGGCATCCTCACTTGCCATTATCACTACTTTGTGATTTCAAATTGAAAATATATGGCATTTGTTTTTTCTACTCTATCACTGCAGGTTCCCAAAGCCTTTGTAAATCTGGTGGATTCCACTGAGCTCACAACTTCCTCTTATGTATGCCAGGATCATCATAATATCAGGTAATGGAGGTTCCTTTAAACTGCTTGACCCTCACAGTCTCCTGCTAGTATTCAGATATCTAGTTAGAATGCTATTTATTGACATTATCCCTATGAGGTAGGGTCTTCTGCCCTTCAAATATATTAAAAAACAAAAAACAGATTTTAGGTTTCCATATTTTTCTGATATACTCTCTCTCGGGCAGGGATTACTGGGAAGAGTATGTGCTTTTAACTCTGCCAATTTGGATGATGTGTTTCAGTACTGACACTGTAGAGATGGTTATAAGTCTATACAGTCCACACCTACCCTTTTACTTAATGTTACTCCCGTCTTTCCTTATTAGTAACAATTCTCGATTCAGATAATCTTAGGTCTCTTTAAAAGCTTAAGTTTCTAAGTATAAAGTTTCACAAAATAAATATTTAACAAAACAGTTTATTATGCCAGTATTCTGAGAGCGCTACTGTTTGGTCCTAAAAAAGGTAGGATGAGAAACTTGTGACTTGTCAATTCCTCTATGATAATTGCATGCATATATATATATATATATAAAATAAAAAGTGTGTGTATTTTTTCTAAATATCTCCTTCTCTAAGTAGTGCAAATAGCTCGTATCCCAGTTTAGCAAGGAGTAGGAGTGTGCACATGGACAGTTATGATAGTTTACAGCCTTGGATTTTACACTCCATCTTACTCCACCGTAATTTTTTTCTTGTGCCTGTGGCATAAGACACCATACATACTCATAGTCATCTTGAAGTTTCACGTGTTTTGTGTATATGCAGCCTCAGAGACATTCCATCAGTGAGATGGGGAGAGTTTGGCTGCTGCTTAAACACGTGCTTCACCACCAGTATGAGAAGAGAAGATTTTCTCATCTGAAAGTAATTGTATGGAGCGTTTCAAGCAAGCTTATTTATTCCTGCACAGGCACTGATGGAAAGTATATGAGGCAGGTAAATGAGAGGTGCAAAGAAAGAAAGGGAATATGGACCTTGTCGTATATTTAAAGATATATTTTTTTAATCTTTTCTTGAGACATTCTTACATTTTTTTTCAATTTTAGGTGATCGGCTTTCTCATTATCTATTTCATTATTATTATCTCATTATTGTGCTTTTGTGAAACAGTTTGAGCAAACCACAGTTACCAAGTTTGCACATCTTGCATTTTACCCTGTTTAATTAGATTTATGAGTTTCTCAGATAGCAACAGTAAAAGCACATTAACCAAAAGCTTCCAGGCTTAGCCAGAGTTCTGTAAAAATGAGGGAGTGTCTGATCCTGACAATCACTTGACATTTGTACCTGCAAACTTCACGGAAATTCTCTCAGGTTCTGCTCCATCCGTGCATCCAAGTGCAGCCTTTTTGAAGCCAGGAAAATTTCAAATGTGCTAGATATTGTTCCTGTCTGCAACCTTAGAGAAACTCATGTCCCCTCCCATCAGTTGTTGGAATATGTGATATGCCCTTGCAGATCAAGGATTTCACTGCGACAGATTAGCTATTAGATAGTGCCTGGCCTGGCTTCTATCCACATTTCTAGATGGAGAGTTGTCACCAAATACTAAGGCAGGAGGTAACTCAAGTGTTCAGTTTTCTGATGTGTCTGCAGAAGGAAGTGTTTGAAAACCTATGCCGCAGTTATTTTGATTTTGAGCATGCTGCTAGGTTGTGAGACCCTGAACTAACCCAAGTCTGGCATATTTATCAACCAAATTGGGCAGCTTCTTGACCTGAATGCCTAAGCACTGGACGTGGAATTAAATTGCATTCTGGGATTTATTCTGCACATATATTTGCCAATGTATGCAACAATTTGGTCTTCAAAAGCATGCTTGTCAATGACTTATAAGAGTACACGCTACAGGCCTAATTTGTAGAAATTCACAATGTTATCATCTTTTCTGCAGCAATCCAGGCAGGCAGCGGTGCAATTGTTTGGGTGAACACTCTGCTGCTGTGGAGGATAACATATTGAGGTGGTCTTACCAGGTATGGTGTATTTTGTGTTGTCTGTCTCTAGCTTTGCTAGAGGTGTGGGTCTGTCTGTTTTCAAGGTTAGGCCTAAGTGAGGACTTATTCTTCTAGTACAGACAGCCATTTTACCACATGTCCACAGCAATTTTGACCCCTTTTTCTGATATCAGAAGCACTGAAGAGACTCTGTAGAGATTGTTCTGTGTATCAGAGTAATTCTGGTACCATTTGTAATTGCTAATGATTATTTAGCTCTTAGCCACATATGTTTTATCATATCCCCATGGAGGAGTGACACATCTAGTTCAGTAGCCTGTTGATATTCAGTGGATGTTGATCTCACATGTATTAGGAGAAGGAAATTTTCCATAAAGCAAGGATGGTTGTGCTAGAATTACATTAAAATGACAGGGAGGCAGTAAGCATGAGATTTCATTGCCTTGCCAAACTTGCTGTTCTTCTGAAGAAAGTTATAATTCAATGTAGCTTTCTCATAGCCACGAGCAGCTTTCCCATTGTTGCATAAGAAGATTCCCTTAAATTACTGTCTTTGTTCTGGATTACAGGATTTGATTATTGTGGCTTATTATGGATGGGGATAGTCTTAGCTGAGTTTAAGTCTTGGTGAATTGCATATATATTACACATTCTCCATAATAATACCCATCTGATTAAGTGGTTGTCTCTTCAGGATGCTTGGGAAAAACTTCTGGAGTCTGAGAAGTATGATCAAAGGGATGACTTCACTGTTGTTCTTCAGCCTTCTCTTCAAGAAGTAAATCTGCTGCTTCGGCTGGTGAGTAAAATCCCGTTGCTCCGTTTTTTTCTCCTAGACTGTGTTTGGTGACACCTACTGCAATATTCATCTCTCTCTCCTGTCTGGTCTGTGTACGGTGCCAGAAGGCAAGGGTAGTCAGGTAGGCAGAACATGCCTCAGGATCAGGAACAGAGGTCTGGAGAGCAGAGCTCACTTCAAACACTGACAGTCAAGGATTCTTCATTCTTAAATGTTATGTTCCTGGAAAGCTGAACTCGGGCTCTGCTGTATGTTAGGTCAGAAGTGTCTGGAAACTCAGATTTGCTAACTTTTTAATATGCTCGTGGTCATTGAGTCATTCTTGATTAAACTTGTACCTTGTAATCAGAATTCAGAAGAAAGGACTATGATTAGTGGAAACTAAGC